GTACAAGATATTAACTCTGCAGGGGGCCCAAACTTTTGCAGACGCCATTTTTTCGTTTTCTGTTATTTTGAAAGTGTAAATGATGGAAATAAAATCTAACTTTTGTTGACATATTATAAGAATGTCTAATCTGTAATTTGATGCCTTTTGGAGATTTTTCCATCTTTCTTTGGCTTCTTTATGCACATTAATACAAATTTTTAGCTGGGGTGCCCAAACTTTCCATCCCCACTGTATATTAGTAGTAGTATATATTATTATTATTATTAGTATATATTATTATTATTATTAGTAGTATATATTATTATTAGTAGTAGTAGTATATATTATTATTATTATTATTAGTAGTAGTAGTATATATTATTATTATTATTATTAGTAGTAGTAGTATATAATATTATTATTATTATTAGTAGTAGTAGTATATATTATTATTATTAGTAGTAGTATATATTATTATTATTATTAGTATATATTATTATTATTATTAGTAGTAGTATATATTATTATTATTATTAGTAGTAGTAGTATATATTATTATTATTAGTAGTATATATTATTATTATTATTAGTAGTAGTATATATTATTATTATTAGTAGTATATATTATTATTATTAGTAGTAGTATATATTATTATTATTAGTAGTAGTAGTAGTAGTAGTAGTAGTATATATTATTATTATTATTAGTAGTAGTAGTAGTAGTATATATTATTATTAGTAGTAGTATATATTATTATTATTAGTAGCAATAGTAGTATATATTATTATTATTATTAGTAGTAGTATATATTATTATTAGTAGTAGTAGTAGTATATATTATTATTATTATTATTATTAGTAGTATATATTATTATTATTAGTAGTAGTAGTAGTATATATTATTAGTAGTAGTAGTAGTATATATTATTATTATTAGTAGTAGTAGTAGTATATATTATTATTATTATTAGTAGTAGTAGTATATATTATTGGTATATTATTTTTCTTTTGAATTCATTATTATTATAATGATTCTATTATTGATGCCCCTCAGATTGAGTGTTGGTATGAGCGCAGCCTCCCTCTCTCCCTTCCATTGGATGGTAATATTCGCCTCCCTCCCTCTCTCCCTTCCATTGGATGGGAATATTCGCCTCCCTCCCTCCCTTCCATTGGATGGGAATATTCGCCTCCCTCCCTTCCATTGGATGGGAGTATTCGTTCAGATTGGTGCACACGCCGTGTAACATACAGCACAATATTGCCACCTCCCGGTTCTCCCTGAGGAAGTCATCCTTGCTCCAGGAAACGTGTGGTGACGTCTTTTTCAAACTTTTTAACATGGAGTTTCCCTAAACATTTCCTCCATGTCTTAGAGAGCCCCTGTTTGTGGATCCAGGGAAAAGACTAAGGAGTGTGATGTACGTTACATATCTGACACCCAGAGCTGCTCCATACAACATTATTTTCAGGAATAAGAACTAAATTAAACAAATAGTAATATTCTCCAGAATAAAACACCAACGTAGTTGGTGGGTGGGAAGAATTTCCCTTACATTGGGGGTCGGTGGGAAGAATGTCCCTTACATTGGAGGTCAGTGGGAAGAATGTCCCTTACATTGGGGGGTCGGTGGGAAGAATGTCCCTTACATTGGGGGTCAGTGGGAAGAATGTCCCTTACATTGGGGGTCGGTGGGAAGAATGTCCCTTACATTGGGGGGTCAGTGGGAAGAATGTCCCTTACATTGGTGATCAGTGGGAAGAATGTCCCTTACATTGGGGGTCAGTGGGAAGAATGTCCCTTACATTGGGGGTCAGTGGGAAGAATGTCCCTTACATTGGGGGTCGGTGGGAAGAATGTCCCTTACATTGGGGGTCGGTGGGAAGAATGTCCCTTACATTGGGGATCGGTGGGAAGAATGTCCCTTACATTGGGGGTCGGTGGGAAGAATGTCCCTTACATTGGTAGTCGGTGGGAGGAAGTCCCTTACATTGGGGATCAGTGGGAAGAATGTCCCTTACATTGGGGGTCAGTGGGAAGAATGTCCCTTACATTGGTGATCAGTGGGAAGAATGTCCCTTACATTGGGGGTCAGTGGGAAGAATGTCCCTTACATTGGGGGCCAGTGGGAAGAATGTCCCTTACATTGGGGGTCAGTGGGAAGAATGTTCCTTACATTGGGTGGTCAGTGGGAAGAATGTCCCTTACATTGGGGGTCAGTGGGAAGAATGTCCCTTACATTGGGGGTCAGTGGGAAGAATGTCCCTTACATTGGGGGTCAGTGGGAAGAATGTTCCTTACATTGGTGATCAGTGGGAAGAATGTCCCTTACATTGGGGGTCAGTGGGAAGAATGTCCTTACATTGGGGGTCGGTGGGAAGAATGTCCCTTACATTGGTGGTCAGTGGGAAGAATGTCCCTTACATTGGGGGGGTCAGTGGGAAGAATGTCCCTTACATTGGTGATCAGTGGGAAGAATGTCCCTTACATTGGGGGTCAGTGGGAGGAATGTCCCTTACATTGGAGGTCAGTGGGAAGAATGTCCCTTACATTGGGGGGTCAGTGGGAAGAATGTCCCTTACATGGGGGTCAGTGGGAAGAATGTCCCTTACATTGGGGGTCAGTGGGAAGAATGTTCCTTACATTGGGGTCAGTGGGAAGAATGTTCCTTACATTGGGGGTCAGTGGGAAGAATGTCCCTTACATTGGGGGTCAGTGGGAAGAATGTCCCTTACATTGGGGTCAGTGGGAAGAATGTCCCTTA